TGGAGGAAGTGAACAATTTAAGATTCTTGTTCCATGTGGCCAAATGTCTTTCATAAAAGATTACTTTAAAATCTCATAAAGTTATAAGAACACCTCTTTGCTCTATTATGTGAGTATTAGCAATAAAAAAAGTTCTTGACGAATGATAAGTAAAAGTAGTATCTGGCTGCTTTATTTTATAACTACCATGTTAAGAAAACTTTGCTAAAGTCAGGAGTTTTAAAAAAAAAAGCTATGTGAAGTATGTTCTGTTGAGAAGAATAGAAAAGGAAATCCATAAGTAAAAATTTATGATTATCTTTGATACAAATCTAATAGCATAGTAAGTAAAACAGTGTTTTAAAGGTTATCTTTAAATAATTGCCCAAGTATTTACCAATTAATTTGGTTCTTACAAGCCTGAGCAGAGCACTTGTTCTCCGTATCTGTCAAAGGCAAAGTTTCTGGAATTCTTTCCACTTTCTGCATCCTTTCATGTCATGTTTATACTAACTACCATGGTAATGTGTTGGGTAGAGTTATAGGTATTGTTTGGTTATGATATTACACGTGGGTGGTGTGTCAAGATTGTGGGTTTAGGTGTTTGTGTTGATAAATAGAGTTGGGGGGTGTGGTTTAACACACAATTGAAGCGTAATTGGGAATGTATTGTGTTGATAGGGGCGAAATGTATGTGTGGTAAGTGTTTCTTTTTATTGTAATGATTATCTGTTTGAAGTGGTTAGTGTGGATTTATGGGAGTTTTTTAATATAATTGAAGTTTTGAATAGGTTTTATTGAGAGGATTGAGGGAATAATGTTTTATTGATAGTTATGAGATTTTTGTTTTATAGAGGGAGTAATGTTGAATTTAGTTGTTTATGTATTATTTTACATTGTAGATTGAAAGGTATTTGGAATTGTATGTGGTGAAAATTTTGGTAGGTCATGGGAAGTAGTGGGAGGAATAGGATGATAGAATGTGATGGAAGTGGTTTGATGACTTACGAGGTATAGAGAGAGTGTTTGTCTTTTTCATGACATGGTGATGGAAAATATGGACTTATTTTGTGACGTGATTTTTATGGTGAGAAAAAGTGTATTGAAAGATATTGGAGTGTTGTGATTTTTTGTTAAATATATAAAGATTATTACATAAGGTGGAGAAGTCATTTTGTGACATAAAGATATGAATTTTTATTATATAAAAGTATTTATAATGAGCGTCTTAAAGTGAGAAAGGGTTTATGTTTGTGATGACTGACTAGGTAAGATTGGTAATATCTGTCTTATGGTATGGATAGGATAAGCATTTGTGCAATGAATAATGATAAGGATAAGAAGAATTAGTGGGGTGATTTAACAAAAGGTTTAAGTGTGATAAGGTATGAAATGGTAGGTAAATGTGGTTGATTTTGTGGTAGAATTCTATATTAAACATTGGGACGAGTTTTAGGGATAAAAATAATGAGTTAATATTGGAATGGTTGCTGTTTAATTTTAATATGTAAAGTGGTGCTTGTAGTATTGTGTAAGTATGATGGTTAATTTTTAAAAAAAAGTCCAAAAATATGGTGTGGATACATGGAATATAAAAAGAAGGAAAAAAAAAAAAAGCAGGCCTTGCTCCTATTATTTTTAATTAGCTTCAATAGCAAGTTGCACTTTCTCTAACACCAGTTCAGATTTGGGGAGAGGATGATTTACACGGGACACTCCAGCATTGGCAATTCCTCCTCTAATGCCTTGGAGCCCTAATGCATTTTACATTAGCTCTAAATGTCGGAAAATCCTGGCGCCAAGAAGTTCAAACCAATAGTGACACATGTCTAAAACCCAGGATTCGCTGTCCAACTGCCAGTATCTATTTTATCAAACATCTAGTCTCTTCTGTACAACAGGATAGATGAGTTTTACAGTTTTCACTGTTTCCAATTTAGCTGCCTTACTATATTAGAAAAAGGCAGGCATTCAGATTAAGATGGATCTCTGACTTGAATTTTAAGAAAAATAACAATTTGGACTGCTCAAACGCTTCACAAGTGGCTTAGTTCTTGATTTTAACACACTTGTCCTAGTGCTGAACAAAACAAAACGAGTTTTTTTTTTTTAACAGCTAAACATTTTCTCATATCATACAAATTAGAAATTCATCCCTTACTTGGCAGGAGTCTGAGGTATTATACTTTAACATTCCATTTTGAATATTTTCATGTAAAGACCAAAGTGCCCCAGGAGCTGGCTGAAGGGTAAACCATTTGGCACTACCATATCGTTTCATGTTTCACTCACGTGCTAATGTCACATCATTAAAAGCATTAGTAATGACAAAAATTCACCTTTTATATATTAATCTTTCATTATTATTTTCTCAAGTAACCTGTCAGTTCTTATTTATATAAGCATGTGATAAAGAAGCAAGAAAAGAAACTAAGTTACCTGGACCATTTCTCTGAGTCAAAAACAAACAAACAAAAACCCAGCAAAATAAATAATGGTCCCTCTTTTCAAAGGTAGAGAATCAGCTTTTTCAATATTTAAAATGTAATTAAGACAATTTTTTTAGATTAACTCAAAATTTTCACACTGCCCAGTCTGTCTGCTTATTTCCCATCTTCCTAGTAAGGATTAAAGAATTCAATAACCACAATTCAATGAACTCATATTTCTTCAAAAATATCTGTATTTTCTTAAAATAAATTAAAATTAAAAATTAAAAGTAATTAATTAATTACGATTTGCCCACTAGAAATTAAAGAGTGAAAAGTGCCACAGTAAAATATTAGCATCTGGGATAGTAGATAGCTCAGTCATATTACTGAAATATGTGAATAATTATTGAACAATTTTGAATACTTTAAAATTTGGCAGATTTAAAAAAAAATGCAGACTTAAGATCCAAGCAAATCATCCCAGAGTTGATCCATAAAATGAAATTCAGAAAATAACAAACATGAATGTTTTGGCACTCTATATACTCTGTGTGTCTGCTGATGCAATCTAGATTTCCATTCCAGATCATCTGTTATACACAAAAGATTGGAGAATATTCAATGCAAATTATTTCTTCATGAAAAGGTGTGATGTGATTTTAGCCTTGAAAAATCACAAAGAATAAAGCAAAGAACTTTCTCCAGAAAGTTGTTTTTAAATGTAATTATTATATTTTTTGTTTTGAAAAATTTTACAATGTCTTATTATTTAACCCTTTAAGTAAGTCAACATTACTCTGTTACATACTTTATGAGGAAAAAAGCTACTTAAATATCTTTAATATTGAAAAGGAACTAAAAGTTCAAAGGTGAAAAGATTATATTAAAATCATTACAAATCATTAACAGAACTGAGTAATAAAATCCCCTAAGTTTTGAACTCAGTAAATAACTTAGTCATTGAATATATCTGTTTCTTAAAACATTTTATTACTTAATAAAATGACCATTTAAAAAAATCCAGAAACGTTCTGTTGAACCGTGAGATTATTACTTTATATATTTTATTTTAGCGAAATGGCTTAGTTTTTGAAAAGTCACATCACTAGATAAAAAGGAGGGAAAGTTTTTCCCATTTTTAGTGGCAGCCTACTTTCTTTATATTGGCAACATCTGCCAGAGATGCAAAATAATGTTTTGCTTGTAATGAAACATAAATGGTAGAATACCTAATTTATAAACACTCTGGTATAAATATTAGGCTGCTATATTAAAATTATTTCTTCATTTTCTGATTATATTCCAGAAAATGTTTTTTAGTGAACTGCCATGTGACATATAGCATCTATGACTAAACAGAATCTCTATTTAAATAATTCCAGCTAACAGAGCCAGAAGCAGCAGAAGTTATCAAAAGTCATATGCTTGCTAGTATTTAACCATGCTTAGTCTTTCTTAGTGCAAGGGATTACTTACTATGACAACCCAATACATCAATGAAATCATTTCCAAAATGCTATTGTTTATCTGAAGTTTACTACAGAAAAATGTATTATAGATTTTATGTAATACTTGTGTGAAATTCACCATGTCCTTAAAGTCTAGGCAATGTTCATCAGTTAATAATGAAATCAACCTAGTAGGCTGCAATCTGAAACAGATTTTATAAAAATGTATTCTTGATTTCTTCATTCATTAAATGAATGCAATATTTGGCTTTTTAAATGTTGCTTTGAAGGTTAAAATAAATGAAACAAATTTTAATGAAACAAAGTTTATACAAATGATCAATATTAGATGCAATCATCATAATTATTATTGTATTAAAAGTTTAAGCTTTCAGATTATATCAACTTTAAAATATTGCATTCTTTATTTAAAAAACATGTGAGCATATCTCCTAAGTAGAAAATCAGTTGTTCTGATGATAAGTAGAATTTTAGATCAGTTTGTATCTATATTTAAAGAAGTATAGATAGGTTTAAAATAAGACTATATTCACCATTTATAATCACCCTCACACAAAATACCGAAACTCTAGGAATAATACAAACAGGAAATCACTGCTTATACTATGGCAAGCTTTGTAAAACCTATGATATCATCAGTAAATGATGTTATATAACTGCTGAGGATAAGTTTATTATAAATGTAGTACAAGGTTGGCTTGTCAGATTTTTTTTCCCTACAAGATTCAACTTGAATGTCATCTAGAAAAGGAAAATCTTCAAAGTAGCACCTTTTAAAATTAGTAATGTCTGAAGAACTGCTAAAACACATATCATATGCTCTCACTTTATATTTGATTGGGTTTGGAATACACTCAAGAAAGTGTGTTCATTAATTTGGCACAAGTATTGCCTGCCTTGATAATCTCTATTTTCCAAAGCCACTAAGGGATCTCCATTAATTTTTATAGAGATAATACAATATAAGTTAATTTAAAACCAAGCATGTTTTTTAAAAGATGGAAGTGTTTTCTCTCTTCTCATTAATAAAAAGATAGAGAAATAAGGAGTGCAGAGGATTACAATTTTTCAAACAGAGAAGTAACAATACACATTGGATTTGCCTTGGGAGGCTATTTACCTGCCAGGAAATGAATGCTGTCCAACCATATCTCCATTTTGAAGATGAAAATCATTGAAGAAATCTGGACTTATGGCTCCTTCCGAGGCAATTAATCCATCTAGAAGGAAAGAAAACACTGCTGGTGACATATTTGTAGGAAATTACCTCCTCTTGTAAAACAGTGAGAATATGTACTATGTAACAGACAGTAACTAGTATATAAGCTACAACATTCTGCCTTAAAGGGGCTTACAATTTTGTTGAAGAGAGAGATACAGAAAAAGATAAGGAAGTGGGAAAGTGGGAAGGGATAGTAAAGATTATTCAGGTCCTGGAAATCACATGAATAAAAGGAGGCATTAAATACAGTGCTGGTAAATAGAAAGATTTACATCATTCTCACAATTTATACCTAGATACCTTCATTTGTATAGTATGATTAGGGCAGTGGATATAAATACAAAAAAAGTGAACTTCTCAAAACAGGTTTGCTTATTTGAAAGGTGAATTACACACAGAGAGGGATCTTCCATGTGAGAGACAGCATAAATGGCATCAATTGGAGGATATGGCAGTGCATTGGAGCCTGCAGAGGACACCTGGTACCACAAGAGAGGAAAAAACAAACTGGTCAACTACTCAGCCAGGTGCTGGCAGTGAGAATCTGGGCAAATGGAGACTCTAATGTGGACTATATCAGCCAGTGGATTCTGGAGAGATTTCATCGTGCTTGGAATGGTGAGACTGGCAGCAATTCAGAATAGTTGAACTATCGAAACCACTTGAGTAGTGCCCTCAGAGCATCAGGGACCTTGGGATGGTTGGGAGGTGGGGTTGCTTCTCTTTTGGTCTCTCTTCTTCTCACAGATACAGGAAGGAAAAGAGAAAATGTGGAAACAATGGTTTTACCCACTTTCCTGTAGCCTTTAACATTTGATCTTTTGAGCCCTAATCCACTGTGTAACGATCATAACAAAAAAAAAAAAAAAAGAAAGAAAATTTCCCAACTGCTAGCTGCATCCAAATGGCCATAATGGCCAGGGTTGGGCCAGGCCCAAACCAGGATCCAGGAGCTCTTTGGATCTGACACAAAGGTGGAAAGGTGGGAGCGGTCCGAGCTTTTGGGCCAACCTGTGCCTATTCAGAAGGGTTAGCAGCAAGGTGGATTGTGTCCGTAAAGGATGCTGGTGTGGCCGCAGGAAGCAGCTTACCCAAGCATGTCACAATGCCAGCCCCAAACCACTGAGTTTCTAAAGTAATGTTTGACAATTTGGATGCTAAACATTAAACTATCCTTGCCCCTGGAAATTTACATTAGATATCTTCATAAATACAGCTTAAACGTCCTCTATTCTTAAAAGACATACTGTACATAATTTGCATTCCTCTCAGTGAGTTGATCTTTAATACAAGATTCAATTATATACACAGTCCTGCTCTAGGTCTCATGTTATCAGATATACAAGCACTTGACTCATCCTGCCAAAATGACTCTACTATGCTTATGGAAGTCTTTTTCTTTGCTTGTGAAGTACCTCCTTTCCTAATTTAAGTCTTTGCTATTACTTCAACTGATGAAAAGGGTATTCATTTTAGAGGACAGAGAGAAAGAGCGATGCATACACACATGCCGAGTGAGAGAGAGTGAGGGAGAGCTTCCAGCCCAAACGCCTACTGCATTGAATCTAGAAGAAAGTGGGAGCTTGGGAGTTCAACCCAGGTCTCTCACAATGCATGGAAGGAACCCGAATTCCCTGTGGCTCCCAGGGGTGCCAGCAGTAAGAAGCTGCAGTCAGGTTTGTAACTCAGGACTCTACCTTGGACCAGGAGCATCTTAATGGCTGTTTCAGCTGTTGGGCCAAATGCCTATTTGGCAACTGGCTGATTTTATATTAATATTACTTTTTTATGTATTTTAATCTAAGAATCTAGAGAACTTATTTTTTATTATTATGCTATCTCATTTCTGTTTTCAAGACAAAATTATACAACTTATTCATGAAAAGATAAACAGGAATAGAAATATATACCAAAGAAGTGGAGAGAACATTAATTGTGAAGCGATTATTCTGTAGGAATTAAAAGGTTCTATGGAGGAAAGGAGGTGGCATTTAATTCACATTTTGAAAGACAGGAAGGATTTAAATGATGAAATCTGAAGAGTAAGAGAATTAAAAGGTGAGTAAATACAATATAGTCAGCAAATGAGTAAGTGAAGTATTTTCATTTGATACATATTCATATATCCATTCAGTACACATCCTTTATTAATAATTTGTATTATTGTTTATCTGAATTATTAACAAATAATCTTGGCATCTATCTGTTTTCTTTACTAACTTTAACATACTTGAGATAATGTGAGTTTTCTGTAAAAGTGTTAGTAGTATCTAATCCAATTTTTATGTCTATTAGAAGTTAAAAGCAGACAAATACTAAAAGTTTACAAAAAAAAAGAAATAATGGGAAATGTCAAGACACCACTGATTAAGAAGAAAGCAGGTGAAAAAAATGAATTCTATGTGGATCTGAGATTTATGAAAGTATGGCTAAAATTAATGAAGTTAACATTATAAAACTCGATAAGTTCTATAAAATTATGGCCAAGTAACTGTGGATCAAGGCTTAAGGATACTTCGAATTTTGGAGGAACAATGCTATTAAAAATGCCAAAATTATATTATAGTTGAAAATGAATGGAAAGTATTCAGCATGCCAGTTGAATAAAAGAATTTAATAGTCAGAATGCAGTATTTAGATATAAACACAACCAAATGAAGAGACAGATTGGTTATGTTGAAAGGTTTATGTTTATAAAATATGACCTAGTCAAGGGACCCAGAGTAGGAAAAAAAACATCAAAAACTGCACCAGTTCTCAATTTTTACTTTTGATTCAGTAATCCATTGTCTTCATAGGGAACAGAAAGCAGCAAAAGGATCAACAGAATCCTGGGAGCATCAAATAGAGATCCAAGTAAAAGTTCTTGAACTTCAGAAACTTAGTGTGAAATTTTAGAAATTCAGAACACAATACGCCTAAGAATTCAATAAGCATAATAGCATGTGAATTTTAATCTAAATTTAAGTGTGTAACTCCTTATAAAGGATTTGACTATTGTATGAATATGGGACACATCAGTGGGGGGGAGTGGGGTTTGGGGGAGGGGGAATCCCAGACTCCGCGGAATTCTATCATAAAATTCCAAGTTCAAATAAAAAATAAAAAAATTATCTAAGTTTATCTTGCTAAAGTTGAGTTTCAACAATATGGCACTGCAGCTGCTCTAGCTTCTGTGGTGCTCTTCATGCCTTGACAGTTACACAGCTCAGAAAAGAGTAACCTGCCTTCATTAGAATGAGGCATGCAGGACGCCCCTCAGTAATACTGTTTCTCAGTATTACATATCTACAATTACTTCTTTTCAGACAGACAGCAAAAAAGAATTCTGTCATCCTAATAATAAATTTAAGGTAAATTTAGGAGAATACTTTCTTAGGCTCCAACTCCATCCTTATTTTTTCAAAGGCAGTAAAACGGAACCAATTTCATGTAACTTTAAAATGGCCAGAGAAGACAGAGAAAACACTGTGTTATCTGTACACCATATACATTTTGTTTCTTAAATTATATAGAACTGCTAAAGCATAATTGTATTAACCCACACTTCTGAGACACTTTATTCATGATGGTAATACATTATAACTCAGTGATAAAGCAAAAGCAAATTTATTTTAGCATAAGTAATTTGTCTTCTTTGTGATTCATAAAAACTAGTTGCAAAAGGGACCACAAACACTATGAATCAAGGCACAAGAAAATATCAAAATTTTAGTATTTTCTTGTGAGGGGACTTCAAAAAGGTCTTGGAAAAACTAAATTAATCCAACACAGTAACAGTGGGTGTTGAAGTGACTATTCTCTTCAGTGCTTAGATCATTCAGACAGACACATGAGAGCTGAACATTCTATTAAAAATAAAACTAACAGACACGTACATGTCATTTTACCAAACAGCTACAGACTACATACATTCTTCTCATCAGCACACAAAACATTTTCTAGGAGAACCACATAGGGCACAAATTCAATATCAGCACATTAAAAGAATGAAATTATACCATGTATCTTTTCAGAAAATAAAGAAGGACACTAAAGAACACTCACAAATATGTGAGAATTGAGCTGCATGTTATTGAATGGTCAGTGGTTCTTTTATAAATTAAAAAGAGAATTGAGAACTTGCCTGAAACAAATGAAAACATGTTAAACAAGTACGACAAAAACAAAAGCAGTTTTAAGAGGGACTTCACAGCAGTAAGTGCTTATAGTAAGAAAAGGGAATTGTCCAAAAGATGTAATGCTGCATCCTGAAGATTAGAAAAACGAAGACAAACCAAATGTCAAATCAGCAGGAGGCAAGAAATGAAAAGGATCAGAGCAGAAATATATTAAACTGAAGCATAAAAATACAATGGGCCAACAAAACAAATAGTTGTTTTTTAGGATAAACAAAATCGATAAACCTCAAGCCAGACTAACAAAAAGAGAAAAAATGTAAAGAAACAGAATTAGAGACAACTAAGTAGACACTGCAATTAGCACTGCTGAAATACAAAGGATCGTGAGAAACTATGAGGAAGAAATATGCTAATGAACTAGAAACACCCAAATGGTTAAATTTCTTGATTTATCTAACCTAACAAGATTAAATCCAGACGATATAGATAATCCAAGTAGACTTATAAGAAGAAATAATACTGAAGCAGTAATGAAAGTGTCCCACTCAAGGTAAAGCCATGTCCTGATGGCTTCACTACTGAATTCTACAAAACAGAGAAGGAGAAAGCAACTTTAATACTCTTTAAATTATTCCAGAATAATGAACAGGATTGAAGTCAACCAAACCCTGATACCAAATTCCTTAGTTATCAACATTACTTTGATACCAAAAACAAGCAAAGCCATGACACAGAAATTACCTGTATCCCTAATGAACATAGACTCGGAACAATACACTAGTAACCTGAACCCAAAACCTCAACAGAAAGATCCTACACCACAATCAAGTGGTATATTTGCCAGAAATGCAAGGGTAGATCAACATATGCAAATCAA